AATTCGTTCTTCATCAGGATGCCATTTTTTTTGGACATCGTATGTATAAGTTAAAACTGTTCTTTAATAGCTGGTATATACCAGTCCTTTCCTTTTATGTCGGATCAGTCGTTTCTCATCTTGTTCAGTTGGTCAGCGCTCAGGAAGCTTTTTTTTTGTTCTGGTCTCGGACAAGTAGACATGTGATTTTAGCAGCTCCATCAGACGTTAACTCGACTTAGTTGTGGTGCACGTCAGGCTGAAGTTCAATCTATAAGTGCTTATCCCAAAGCCTCGATGTTTCCTAAGGTACTTGCATAGAACATTAATGGCGCTATCGATTTCAATTAGAAATACATGCTCGATATGATAGATTAGATTAGACTAGGTTGTTTGATTGACGTGATTTTTAAGAAGGCTGGCTCCCCTTGAAATTTACCTATGCCCTCTGACCCATTAGTGTCCATGGTTATGGGGCGGAGTGGTAACATATCTTTACCTTAATGACCCCGTTTCGAACCCTGCTAGGAGGCTGATGAGACCCAGGCGAAAGCGAAACTGCAGTCAAGCCTGGATTAAAGGACCTTCTGGCAAGAAAGGATTCGTGAAATATGAGGCATATTCCTAACTTTATGTGAAACTTCTGCTATCATTCCTTGAATCACCTTAAATGACCTGGAGTGACTAATTTTTATTCCTTTTGCCTCATTAATCAATCCAGTCATCCGTATATAGAGCCCAAATAGGGGTAGGTAACAGGGTACACTATTCACTATCAGTCTTTAACTCGGGCTCCAAATACGGCCTTTTCAAAAATTATGCTTCATTTAACAAGTTTTGTTAATATGAGATGTATTCACCCTATTTCGTTTAAGGTGATGAAGGACTGGTAGTAGAATTTTCCCACAATCATATCAGTAGAGCCGATGTTTCTCACCCATGGTGGACTGCGGTTTCGTCCTCGCATAGGACTTATCAAGGCCCCAGCGGGAGTCGAACCGTGACAGTTCAGCATGTGAGCTTGATACGTTAACCACTCTGCCACAGTGCCAGGAGTGCCATTGAGTCACAGGGCAGATGTGAATTTCAAAAAAGGCAGAAGAACAAGTATTGGTCTTTATTCTCTTACTTACACAGAAGTACCATGATAGATGAGAAAAGCCTGAAAATAACCCTTTTTTTTGAGATCGACCACGACATTCGTCCGAAAGTGCTGTTTCTTAAAAATTATTTTCTTTGGATTAAGAGATCATTCCCTACTTCGGGGTCAGACAGGGCGTACTTGAATGTAAGACGAAAGAGTTGCACAACCAAACTCGCCAGGCGCCTTTCGATGCTTTTCTAGGCAAAATGTTGGGTCGACGGAACGTAGCTCTTGACAGCAAGAGCTGCAATTAAGTTTATTCACTTTTACGCAAGTCCAACGCAAGTAATCTTCATAGGAAGCTAAAAATCCGCTTGATCCATCCTGCTTCCGAACTGGACCGTATTAAATTGTTCAACGGACTTGTATCTTAGCCAGGGCCGTACTATTTTGAGCTACTTAACTCCAACTCCATATGGCTCTATATAGTGCTTACTAAATGGATTAGAATCCTTCCTAAAATATATATTAAGACAATGTGGTAAATTTGGCCTGCTTCAATGATCCAAGGTAGCTAAGGTCTCATCGGCAAGTGCATTGATGGAATTTGGAATCGGGTTAAGTAAAAGGGAAGTTTTCTCGCAATCCATTCAGCTCAACCTTGAATCGACACGTCTCAAGCATTTAAGGAAACATCTAATCTTTGAACTTGTCTTAAGTTATTTTGGACATGTATTTGAGCATGGTGCTTCCTTTAGGCTTTTTTTACATTCTCACTATCTTGAATTTCATGGTATAAAGTGGCTTTGCTTCCTCACAAACGTTTCGTAAAAGTGGAATATTTGTCTTGACTACTTTAAGATTTTAATTTAAAAGTTCAGGTTAGGTATGTTTTTGGGTCGAATATACTTCCAATATCATCTATCCATTCCGAATAGTTAGAAGTCCATACTTGTATCCGAATATCACAATTCAGCCTAAAATTTAGTAGTGATTCGTCTTAAATAATAGCAAAAAGTGACCAGCATGACACTTCCTAAGCACTATT